CTGCACCACTGCCCAGGAAACACAGTTTGTGCATCTGATTGCTCCCAGTCTGCGTGCAGCTTGGCATGCTGCACATCACAGCACTGCAGGGAAGGGCTTGCAGCAAAGAGCAGTCTCCAGTTCACAGCGGTTGAGAGAGACAGAGCTAACTTCTCCCCTGCAGCCCTTTCTCTTCTCCATGCCCTGTCCATCCCATTGTATGGTTTGGAAAATGAGGAATCCCAATTGAGGCAAGCCTTTTCCTCCATTTAGCATAGCCCATTTTCCTCTTAGAGTGCTTTCCCTGGGAGCTCTGCCTGTTCACTCCTATACATGATCCACAGACTGAGGTTATCTGGTGAGTTCATCAGGTTTAGAGCTATGTCAGGGCACTTGAAGTTCAAAGCAGTCCAGCCCTATGTGTGAATCCAAACCCCAGTGAGCAGCCTGAGATGCTGCAGCAAGAGCTGTGTGTAGAAATAGTCAAAATCCCATAAATCCTAGCTCAGTTTACATATTCTTGGAAGTATGTAGGATTCGGGGATGGTCTAAAGAACCTGGACTCTGAATGTCTGAGGCTTTCCCATCATGAGAAGTATTACCCATCTAATTGGGTATTATCTGAGAATTATCCATAAATACTCATCACAACATGATATTTGCTAAGCAACAATTAGGCTGTGAAAGGAACTCAGATAATACTTTTGTCTAGAAAATGAAAGATCCTGCGTTGATTTCTACAGCACCATGCTGAGGGGTAATAGGGTTTAAAACTGCAGTGAATCACAGTTAGACCAGATCTCAGCACCCTTGAGTGGGAAGAAGCCTAAGGGCAGGATAGAATGAGGCCTCCAAAGAGATTCTGGAGAAAGCTATGTGTATTACAGCTCTTTACAGCAAGTTTGGAACCCAGTCAGTGAAAGACGTGAGCATGACACTGTGCTTTCCACATGGCTCGTGTTGACGCATCTCTGATAGCAGCTTTGGTGGGCACAGGAGTTTGTCCTGCTGTACCCAGCTCCTGGGCACTGCACACTCTTAATTGTGCTCTCTTTTACACCCACCCTCTGGCCAAGACCATCAGCTTCAGGAGATACACGTCCTGCCCTGGTCATCTAGTAAGAGAGAGGCTGTGACGTTTCTATACCATTAGGGTATAACAGAGCTGAGGGAAGAAGGCAAGTCTCTGTTTGAGGGCATCAGCGGTACTTACATGTGTGCAGGAAGTGCAGTGGCTGTGCAGGAGGCTGGGCCATTGACATCTCCAACAGGTTTGGAAATGGATTTATTCAAGTTCCCCTTTCAGCCTTTTTATTGTCGGTTTTAAAGTCTAATGTGCAGAGAGGACAAAGTAGTGACTTAAACCTGCCTCTGCCTGCTGAACTCTGGCGTTTTATAGCGGGAGTCCTCTGCACAGGAGGCTTTGAAAAGGAGATGGGTTTGTGTGCTCTGACCCAGGAAGGGTCTGTGCTGTGTTTGTTCACTTCCAGAGGTAAACACCTGCCTGTGGAGGACAAGAAAATTAAGGACAATGCCACGCTGTTAACATTAAAAATGGCTTAAAGCTCCTGTGTGCTGAGACGCTTACGAAGCCCTGTGCACATTCAGTGTCCACAGCTGCATCCTGCCTGAGCTCTGGACGGGAGTTAAAACATACCTATAGTAGCACCCTTCAGTTGTTAGGTGCTCCTGAGTGTCTGATGTGAAGGGCCTCATGCTGGGAAGCCTGTGGGAAGGGTTATTTCGCAGAGCTCTCTAGGTTTGAATGCTGCAGCCCAGCTATCTGCAACGCCTGACTCCTCTCAACTGCACAGAAAGAGAAGACAAAGCGGTTCTCATCCTTTTCATGCTCTTTCTATCTCCTTCTTTGTTTTATCTTCTATGTGTGCATGGCTTCATTTCTGTTCTGATAAAAGCAAATGCCATTTGACGTGTTATAGCATCGTTTATTGTCATTTGGGTTTTTATTCATGAAAAATAACTGAAAAGAAAGAGCTTTCTCCCTGCCTGGCATTCTCCATAGCTATGAGTCTGTAGGTATTTCAGACCCAAGCAGGGCAGGGATAGGGCATTTGCTGCTGCTGTTTCTGTGCCTAATTGTTTCTTGCTGGCTGAAGGAAGATGTGGAAAGAAGGATCACCTGATGGCCATAGCAGACAATGAAGTGTCAAGGAGCATAGTCGGTGTTCGTTCTACTTCTGTGCTCCATCTCACGCTTCCTCTGTTTCTTTCTGGCATGACCCCTCCGATCATCACTCCATCCAACAAGGTCTAGCATCACTCATCCAACAAGAGCATTCACTGAGCTGGGCTCGCTGACAAGGGGCATGGCTGCTGGTAGCAAGTTTCTATGCTGTAAACATCTTGGAGTAAACTGCTGCCAACAGCATCTTCTCCTTCCCTCGCTCTGTGGGGTCTGTGAGCAGAGCCTGGGTGAAGGAGAGCAGGAGCAGATGTCTGGATCTCACTCTGCACCTCTCCTCCCTGCCCATCTGCCAGCCTGGAGGAAGATTTTTCACCACTAAGTGCAATGGGGATTCGCAATGAACAGCCTCTGCTAAGCCAGGAAAGTGTCCTGCGAGCACCCAGGGCAGCTGATGGATGTGTGTCACTGGTAAGGGCAGGATGCTGCAGAGCTCCAGGGATTTCTTGCTTGGACAGGATGATTCTGGGTGCCTCCAGCCTTGTCTTTAGCAGAGGGGGCACAGCAAGGACCACTGGAGCAGAGCTTTGCCAGTTCCAGGAATGTTAACTTGATGGTCTGTCTGTGTTGAAGGAATGATGGTGGGAATCACAGGCCTGGGTGCCTCACTGCAGTCTCCTAGTATCAGAGGCCAAGAGGAAGAAGTTTTTGGTTTCCTTTCTGAAATGCCTATGTCCTCGTGTATCAGGAGTGAAAACCCCAGTCCTGCTGTCCCGACATGGCATTTACATACTGTGCAGTTAAGGAAGGAAGTGAAATCCTAACCTATAGAAGCAGGCTTCTAAAGTGCACTTGGAGCAATACAACACAATATCCTTGCAATAAATAAACATCCCCCGTGCTTTGCATAGGTGAGGAATGTGGTGACAAACCAGCCACTGAGATAGCCTGAAATCCCCAGTGGAAATGCAGCTCCTAAAATGGGGTCTGGAAACGGAGGGCAGTTTTCCAGCTAGCACATAGCACTGTGATGCCATGGGCATCTGTCAGTCCAGGCTTGTGTTTCCTATGGAAGGATTCTCCCCCTTTAGAAACATTCTGATTGTGATTCCTGTCAGCAGTTCCTCTCTGACCTTTGAGTTTGGAAAGTCCTGAAGTACCAGGATTCTTCAAGCAAGCTATCTGTAGTGATAAAAACTGGCAAGTCGGCATTAGTCCTGTTGTGTGCCACTGTCAGGCTCTGGCGGATTGACCCAGATTGTTTCCAGTAGCTGTGACTCCTGAAGCAGGTACCTGTGTAACACCTCAGGGAGTTTATCGGGTTCCTTCCCTCCATTTGGCTCAATCCCGCAGCTCCAGGCTGATGTGGTGTGTTTCTGTGTCTCTGGCAGTGGCTGCTGCTCGTGCTGGCTGTGCTTCAGTGACAGATGACATTTGCCTGCTGTCTGCAGAGTTTATTACCAGCTTTTATTCATGCTTTCTCCTTCAGCAAAAGGACAGCTCTTAGGGGGAGAGACTGGCAACGAGTTCAGGGGTCTTTGATGCCGCGCTGTTGATGGACCAAGAGCAGAGCCCATCAGGAGTCACAGGACAGGAAACAGTCCCTTCCCTTGCACCTTTGGCTCTCTCTCAGCCAGCACGTGGCCCAAAGATTCCCCTTCACTGTCTTTCAGTGCTACTCTGCTATTTGTGTACAGCTCCTTTGCCTCCTTGCTTCTCTTCCACATCTCCAAACCATCTCCAGGAAGAGCCAACTGCTTGTCTGCTTCTGGGAGTCCCTTGCTTGTGCACTAACTTTGGGCAGCAAGGTTTCGGGCTGACTGATGGAGCAGCGACATTTTGATTCCCTGATTCCATATATCTGCACACGGATGGGAAGGGAGGTGCGGCACAGGAACATACGCAGCGCTTGGATCGTGAAGGAGTGGGGATGTGGATATACATTATGTTTTATGCATGCAGGCACATATCTTCAGATGCCTCAGCCTGTGCCAGGTGCAGGATAGGGCGCTACAATGATTTTTTACATGTTTGATGCATTTCTGTGCAGTGCCAATGTGGTTTAGTCCTGGTTTAAGCGACCTTCCTTTCCTTCAAGCAACTCCCTGCTTTAAGCTCTGCCTCTCTGTGAACTCTGGAGAGGTAAAGAGGGAGCCAGAGAATGGAGAGAGGCAGCTGGGAGATTATTAATACTGAAAGTACCAGCGAGCATCAGCCCTTTGATCACAGGCGTGTTTGCAGAGGGACCGTTCCACTGCATGAAGACTAGTTGGCATTCAGTGCATGCCACAGCATCTGGTTCTGTCTCTTGTTCTGTGCCCGTCCAGAGAGAGATTGTAAAGTGAGTCGACAGGTAGATAAATAAAGGGAGAAAACTGGGCTGTCCTCAGAGACCAGTGGAGGTTTATGGAGGTGCAACTGGACGGGAGGTGGGGAGGGATAGGTCACATTTGCAGCCTGAGTGTGGAGGTGCTGCAATTGCACTGGAGCCTGTGGGCCAAAGGGAGCTGTCTGGGAAGACTGGGAAAGGAGAGGAAGGAGGTGGGATGAGCACAGTGAGGTACCCGGACCTGGGGTCCCCTTTCAGCCTTTGCCACAGTTCATGATCTGATCGTGTCGATGCTGATTGTGGCCTCTGGCCAAGACAGAAACAGAACACAGCACCAGTCTGCTCTGTGCTGCACCTCACCTGGGTACTGACCTGAACCTTCTTCTTGGCAGATGGTTTGAATTGCTTCAAATCAAGAGCAGAGCTGTATGATCACCTACTCCTCCTAGCCCCAGTTTAATAGTCATTAAATCCGACATTAATGCCATTCCTGCTGGCTTGGTTTGTGGTTTTGCCACGGGCTTTTTTCCTTTCTTCTTTTTAAACCAGGAATCAGCAATATCCACCAGGACAGTGCACCCGCTTGAGCATCTCCTTACCCCAACTATGCTGTGACTGGTCAAAAAACAACCTGTAGCAGGAGATGGCCCAGAGGAACCTCCATTCCCTGGCTAAGACTCCTGAATACCAATGACAACGTAAATACTGGTACTGCATAGTAATGGCTGCATGGCTCTCTGAGACTGCCTTGCTCAGTGCCATCCCCATTGACAGGCAGTGCCAGGAGATGGCTCTGTATTTCCTAAACAGCATTTGCAGGTTCTTGTCCAGGCTTTGCAAAAGAAGACCCTTAGTCTCTTGCCAGAGTGTTCTTCAGTGCGTCTGCTGTGCTGGGCTCTATATTGCAAGCTCCTAAATTCCCTGCTCTTTAAACCATGTTTGGAAATCAGTGAATTTCTATGCTACGAGGGGAAAACCATCTCAGATTTACCCTAAAATGATGGGAGCAGAAAGAAAGGAGGAGGAACAATTCACCCGTCTCAGAGGCTGCTCATTCCCAGGTCTCTCCTATGACACACAGAAGAAAGGTTCTGTGGTTTTACTTCTGAGTCTATCCCCCTTTTATTCACACAAAGTATTTCCTATAGCCTTAAACTTCCCTTCCCTTGTCTGCTCCTCACACACACCCCCTTTATAGGTTTAAGTTCTGTATCTTTCTCACCATGCAAATACCCATATACAGAAATGCACACACAAGCTGTTTTTATAGCTTTAGCTCCGCGTGTATCTGCCTTGTCATGGAGAAGGTTCCTGCAGCTTCACTTTGCACGTCTATAAATAGTCTCTCACAGGCACACATACATGAAAGCATGTTTCTGGAGCTGTAGTGACACAGAAGCAGGGTTTGCTCCTTTTGAAGGGTAAGAAGTGTGGGAGGGGGTTGCCCGTTTATGTTCCTGGAAGTCACATTACAAGATCTGGGATACCAAACCACAGCTGACCCCTAGCATACGGAAATGCTTTACTGCAGCTGAGATGACTGGATTTAATAGAGGCAAACGTCACGTATGTCATGGTGAATGTAACATTTGTGATATACAAGAGACCATCCTCGATAAGCAGCTGGCTCCTGCTTCCCTTCCTAGAAAGCTTGTGCCGCCAAAGCAATAGAAGAATGTATGGTTATAGGATTTGCTCCTCTGCTTTCCAAAACTAGACAATGGAGCTGGAAGCCAAATGGTATCAAAAGCAAAGAAAGGCTCATTTTGAATAGCAGATAACTTTGTTATTTGCAGACACTTTGCTCTCCTCAGTGCAGCTACCATTAGCCCCAAAGAAACAAAGCAGTGTGCAAACAAGTGCAGGACGTGTTCCAAGGAAACGTGCGTCCACAAACAGTGTGAGTGCCTTCTCCGCAGAGCATTGCCCCCTTATGCCAGCACAGGAAAAGGAGCCTTTCCCTGGAGATGCATTGGAGGGCAGAGAGCTGCTGCTGTGTGCATGGACAGGAATTAGCTACAACCTCCCTTACCCCAGCAGCAGCTTTAGCATCTTTGCCTGGCAGAGAAGAGGGAGCAGAAGAAGCGGTGATATCCTGACAGCATCTGAAATGTTCCTGGGGCTATCTCTGGTCACACTGTTTATACAGTTCAAGGTCTGAAATGTAACAGTTCCTGTTAGCCCAAGATAAGACACAATGAAACGGCGTCTGTAGCTGGGGAGGGTTATTTCTGTGTATCAAATTATTTCATGCTAGTGGGTTTTCAAATGGACTCTAATTAAATTAAACAGCTCTTTTTTTCCCCCTTATCACCACAGGCACATCGAGATTGTGTTGCAATTATGGGGGAAGATCTGTATTTATAGCGTGGAAAGGATTTGCACAGGAGCCACAGTCCTCTCTCTGCCTGGCATGACATTTCCATTCTGCACTAATGTTGTGGAACCCTGTGGTAAGTAAAACAGGCACAAAGTATTTACCAGTGATGTAAAGACAAAAGGTGTCTTCTCTCGTGCTTCAAATCTGATAGAGGATGCTAAAACCCTCTCTGTTTCTAATGTGTTGGTGGTTAGAAGTTGAAAGCCTAATTCACACTTACTGACATGAATGCAGGAGCTGGGGCTTCAAGAGAAATAGCAGCTATCCTTGATTGCACCAGAAGAAATGCAGTACTGGTAATGTTTGCTGTGGAATTCCAATTACACTTTAGCTGTCGTTTGCTATCCTGTATGTTGTATCTGAGCATCTTTCCCGTATCTGTCCTCAGAACATCCCTGTGAAAAGCTGCTGACCTATTTTCCCAGGGGTGACTATTAATAGAGATTGGCAAAAGAAGTTCATAACTTTTCCAATATCAACCCCGCATCGATTCACTGCTGACAAAGGTTACACTGGGAAATTGGCTTTCCCCAGCACGGATACAACGGGATTGGAGGCATTCAGTCTTATCAGAGATGCTCTTTTTGTAACGGGCCTTGACGAGGGAGCTGTAAAACCTGAGTTCAGTTTGTAAAACCTGTTGTAAAACGTGAGTTCAGTCTGGGCTCTGCCACAGACATCCTTAGAGTGTTCCTGGACAAAGCAGGTCCTCCTCTGCTTCAGCTTTTCCATGTGTGAAATGCAGAGCTCTGTCTGATTAAGCACCCTCATTAGTGGTCCAGATGTACTGGGATATTCAGGGGGGAAAACTGCATCAGTTCCATCAGTTGTGTGAATTCCAGCAGTGCTTTGCACCCAGCTTTCAGGCACGCAGATGCTGCCCTGGGAAGCTTGCCTCTCACAGGGCTTGTCACTCGGCTTTCTCATTACCATAATCAATGCGATTTACACCCAAAAAGATCAATGAATGAGCATCAGGAGCACTGAGAGCTGCGTAACTACTCTTCTGCTCCAGTTCTGCTCACTCCCTTCTCTACATTGTGTCTGGAAGTTGAGCATAATAAAATGAAAGCAAAGATTCCGTTTCCAAGTTGAAGGTGCAGCTTCCTTTAACATTCCCAGGATAGTTCAGCTTATGCAGACACTTGGTGTCAGCTTCTGTGGCCCGTGCTGTTCTTGCAGACATATTTTGTAATACATTTCTTTAGCCCATCCAAAAAGAGGACAAGTACAAAGGCAGAACCCGGGTTCTTGGTGCCTTTCTGGTGATAACCATGCAGGTTACGGAGAAATGAGAATTAGCCACTGAATCTGTGGCAGCAAACAAACGGCAGTATTCAAATGGGCTCTTTTTTTGCTGCCAGTGTTCTTGTAACACGCTGTGTGGGGGTTCAGCCTTCTGCCAGTGCTCCACAGCTTCCCAGCCACTGCTCAGGGAGAGCAGCATCCACCGGAGCTCTGCAGAGTGCACGGGCCACGCTCTGTGCACACACAGACCTGATGCATCCCCCCAGTGCCACGTCTCTGTGTGCACAAATCGGCTCCACTGGCCCCATGCTGTGGAAAAGCTTCCTCCTGCTCCCTGCTCGCACTCAAGGAGCACTGTGCAGAACGAGGCTGCTACAGCTTGTTCATCTAAACACACACGCGCTGCTTGTGCAGTAGGAGGGCAGGTTGTGGCTCTCCGTGAGAGCTCATTGACACCGGAGGGACCATTGCAAAGAGGGACATCAGAAGCAGGCTTTTGCCCAGAACCCTGTCTCTCTGTGATCGTGGCCTGCACTCACAGGTGGGGCAGCTCTGCCTGGGGGAAGAGGTATCTTTGAAGAAGAAAACGACTGTAGTTTAAAACCACTTTATGCTTGGCCCACAAAAACACATAGGGATCACTCATGTGCCCTTCATGCAATGATCTGATCTTTGGGAGCCCTTGTTCTTCTCAGTGGCTTGCTTAAAGCCTCATAACAACTGAAATCAGTGCTGGAAGTAGGAGCTGTAACTCGGAGCAGTTTGATAAAACCGGAGATGCTCAGCACTGTGCTCCTGAGGCAGCGTCCCCCTGTGTTTTCTGTCTGGATCTGGGGGCAGAGTTGTAAGAGACTGGCTGGGTAAGAAGGTGAAGCACAGGCTCTCCTTTGAACATCTGGAGATGAGGATACTTCCAGATGGCTGAATGAGCTTTCAAATAGAAGATTCACAGTCATGTTTGACTGATTATTTGCATCTTTCAAATGCTGCCTAGATAAGCAGTAAGTAAAAAAACAGTTAAGATTGAGGAGAAAGAGGGAAATGATGCCAGATGTGGAAAGGTCTGTTTAAACTTGACACTCTGTCACACTGGATGTGATTGCCAGCTGTAGGAACAGTGTGCTTGTGCTCAGGGGCCTCAAGGTAGCAGCACTGTTGCGTGTCTGAAGCAAGCGGACACCTGAGCACTTGCAGGCAGAGGACTTCTTGAAGAACATCTCTCCTGTCTTCTATGTTCATCACAGAGCCAGTTCTGCCCTCTCTTTTAGCATCACTTGCTGTGCAGCACATTTATTTCCTAATCTAGCCAAGTCACTCGTGTTGAACCCAGCCTCATCACTATTAGTGTTTTTCAGTGTGATATTCTTTATGGAAGTTGTGCTTCGAAGCCACTCTCAAATTCCTGCTTTTCTTCTGCATATCCAGAAGATAACAGCACCTTTCCAAAGAGCAAACACCCTGAGTCATCCAGATGCAGCAGTTTGCACCCTGTTGTAGTGTGATCCATGTAAGTGATTTCTCATGTCAAGTTGTGGCCCCACTGCAGTCAGCAGGAGCATCAACTGGACAAGGATTTCCTCTCTGATGTAGTGAACTTGGTCCAGGGTAGTTAGACACTTGGCCTTTGCTAATGAAGGGGTGGTCCCCGATTCCTGACTCCTCGCTGTAATGAAGCCATTTAGAAATGTGCTGCAGAACTGTTCACTAAAGAGTTTTCCAAGCTTTGGGAAGGAAATCCGCTGAAGATGTCCAAGAGCTGGGGCTGGTGATATGCCTCACGTGGCCTGGTTTCAGTAATGGATTGTCATTCCAAACACGACACTCCTTATTCCACTCCGTGGAGTCCAATTAACTGTCAGGAATGCACTGTTGAAGGGATGATGGATTATACCACAGGAAACATTAATGAAGCTCATTCCAAGCAGCCCACATGAAGACCACAGCTGATGCAACTGCCTGCGTGGAGAGCCTGCTCCTTTTGGTTTCCAAAGCCTCAAGCAGGGAGAACCTCATCCACCTGTCAATCCCACCCAATTAAGGGACCATTAGATGCACCCTTTCCTTTCACTGTCATGATCAAGGTGATTTTTGGCTTTGCAAGTAGCTCTGGCTTTACCACAGAAACAGAGACTGTGGAGAGTGAGCGATGATTATCTACAACTCACTGTATGACTTCATTATTCCTGACCCGACAGTGCTGCCTACTAATAAGGTAGCCAAGGTGAGAGAATAAAGTGCTTGGCAATGCAAGCTTCCTAGAAGGTGAGGACCTGCCTCCTGCTATGGAGCTGGGACAGAGGAACACCCAGAGCATGCCACCATGCACATCATCCGGTGGGTGCTGTGCCACACCGTGGCATCCAGCTCTGAAGCTGCCATTCTGATCCGAGCTGTCCTCTCCAGACCATGGCTGGAAGACACCTACCTCCAGTCTGGAAGTTGATGCTGGTGTCTCCTCCCTACCCCTGTGCACAAGTCTTGCAGGATCAGCTTTTCTCTGCCTCTCTTCCTACTGCATCATCAGTAGCAGAATGAGTACAGAGCTGGTAGTGCCCTGCTGTGCTGCCTCACGCACACTGGGAAGCTGTTTGTTTCGAGGTCATACTGGAAAGCAGTCTTCCCAGTGGTGAGAGCTCCACAGCCCCAGACAGCCTCCAATGCCTGATCCTCTCAGAAGGGAAGTGCCGGAAAGAGGGCAGAGAGCATCCCTTCAACACTCACCACAACTTGTCTCTCCTGCTGGCCAGGGCTGTGCCATCTGCTGAACGGAGAAGAGCATTTCTCTCCAGCCATGCTCCAGCCTTCGGGTGCCAGTTCAGAGGCACCAGCAGTAAGTGTGACAGCATGCAATTAAGTGGGAGTGGAATGGGTACCAGTGTGAGCCCAGCGGGCAGGGGTCAACATAAGATGCTGGAAGAGTTCCTCTCACCTCATCCTGAGCAGATGGCATCAGATTAGTCCTCTCTTTTTGTAGCCTTTTAAGTAACGAAGCAGCACCCTGGCTAAAATAGCCCCATCTGGATCATATAATCCTAATCCTCCTCAGTGTTATGTGCACCATGGGCTGATGGTCACTGGCACAGAAATTGCGCGGCTGGAAATCAACTCTGTTAAGTGCCTTCATTTCCACCCATGTTAAATCCAGAATTAGAAATCCTCCCTTCTGGCTGAAGATCTTTAACCAGAAACCTGAACTAGTGGATACCCCACTGCTGCCTTTTTCTACCGTTAGCAGTTTTCAGTCACCAAATCAACAAGGGGTTGGAATAACAACAGGGAGCTGTACCCTAAATGTAGCTGAAATCCTATTTGCCAGACCTCAGAGCTGGCCTGGGGCTTACAAGAGGCTGGGACAGTGAGTGAGTTGTTGGCTGTTCTCTGTTTCTTCTCAATGGCTTGTCCAGCTACTGAGTTTAGTGTAGTGGGATGCCCTGGGGATTGAGAGTAGGGCTTGAGCCTTCCAGTTCCTCCACCCAGTCTCTGCAGGAGCAGCCTGGGAAAGGCTGTGAGTACCAAGATAGGAAGGTTTAAGGGTGATGCAGCTCAGTCTGAATAAAACTAGTGGGATTAAATGAAGCACAGAGAGGTTTACACGCACAGGAATTATATCCTATTAGACTAAAGGATAATCCCGAGAGAGGTGGCAGAATGTGGCAGACAGTTTAAACCACGTTGCTTAGACCAGCTTGTGAATGCTGCAAGATAAAAGGCAGGCAATACATGGATGAAAAATCCATAGTTCAGACATGATATGCCTCTTACTGTCCCTGGAATGCATGCGGAGAGAGAACAGTACAGAGGGAATACAGTAGCACAAGGGCCAGGCTCCTAGTTTGGCAGCTGATTATGTCAGTTAATTTAAGCCAGAGACACTGCAACACAAAAACCACTGCAGCAAACAAAGGTCTTACCTGAACAAGTCATTTCCCATGTTCTTTATGACTGTATTTATCAGAGCATCTCTGAAACAAAGTTCACCTCTTTATATCTCATCATGAAGACTCGGTGCCTGCTGCACTGAGCACAATTAACTGAGGTCCTTTACAGAGAGTTACTTTCCCTCATGCATCATCCAGTTAATTATTTAATGGCATATAAATCCTCGTGGCTCACAAGGTCTGGGGCTGTGCTGCAACCACACTGCAAAGCTCTTTCATGTGTCTCTGCTCGCACAAGAGCAACTTCCACTTTGTTGGGAAGAAGGAGCTCTCTCTTTGAAATCTTGTTGTGGCAGCCATCAAAAGGTGTGATAGGAAATGTTTATTCACACTCGGATACCAGCTATTAAATGGAATGAAACATATGTGCTTCCCTGTTTGTTTGTTATTCCCCTGTTACACCCTAAAGACATTTTCCTGTCACTCTCCGGGTTGGGATTAGCTGTTGAATAGCACGTGTCTGTTTGATGGTGGGTGTTCGTTTCATTAGATAATAGCTCTCATTAAGGAAACATGACAAATTAATGAATTTGTAAAGAGACATCCTTTGTTAATGGTGCTTTGGGTTTAGTTGGTACCTTTCCAGGAGGAATCTTGGAATCAACTGCATTAGAGAATGATGCAGGTGTGTTTCCCACCTTCACCTTTGGGATGACAGCTTTTTGTCTGTGCTTTGAGCAGCGAATTTGGAGCTACCCCTGGGGACCTTCATCACTGAGTGCCACAGGAACTCACTGACTCTTCCATGGCCTTGGCTTTCATCTCAGCATCAGTGCACTGACCCTTGCCTTGCAGGATCTTTCAAAGCACGGAAGAGCACCCATGGCCACTCTGAGTGTCTCTGAGATGGTTTCCTTCCAGCTGACACTGGCTTCTTCTTATCTATAGCCATTCTGTGAATGGGAATGAGTGCCCCTCTCCATAGAATAGGAATTGCTGTTTCTCAAACCCTTACTCCAAAGGCTGGAAACAATCATTCTTCATTGTAGCCCAACCTTTCTAACAGACACATTATCATGTGTCCATGGCAATCAGTTTAAAGTCTAGATGGATTTAACCACTGTGGCAAACGCAGTTGCAAACATCCTTTGCCTGCCACAGAAACAACGGGCAAACATCCACAGTTTTGTGTGAGGAGAATACCCTCTGCATTGAAACGGTGCCTGAAAGCCTTTAGCTGCTACTCTGGGTCTTCACCAAAGAGTTAAATGTGTCGTGGA